AGGAGATTCAATGATCTTCTATTTCAGTCTAAGAAGCGTGGGGAACCCTGCAACCTGAGAATTTCCTACGCGGCTTTAGGGAGGTTCTTGATGATTGTGGTTTATTGTAGTTTCCTACGGAGGGGTACCCATATATTTGGGAGCGAGGTAGTGGTACGGAGGCGTGGATGGAGGAGAGGTTGGATAGGGTTGTGGCTTGCAAGGATTGGTGTGACTTGGTGGAGGGGGCGAAGGTGATAAATATGCTTACGCGCACGTCTGATCATTCTGCTCTCTTTCTTGAGGTGTGTAGCTCCGAGACTAGAGGGGAGGGTGGTAAGCAGGGCTTCCGGTTTGAGATGGCATGACTACTTGATGCGGGGTATTGGGGGGTGGTAGAGAAGGCTTGGACTGGTGGCGGTAATGGTGGCTTGCAGACGTGCTTCAGTTGTGTGGGGAGTGCCTACAAGGTTGAGGAGGGGATCACTTTCATTTGTTTGGCAAACATATAAAGCTTTTGCAGTCTAAGCTGCTTGGTTTGCGATGATAGTCTAACCCAGCTGCATTGGCCGAATACCAGGAGGTAGAGGCACGGTTGAGCCAGCTAAGGCATAGGAAGATGTTTACTGGAGACAGAGAGCGAAGCAGCACTGGCTACGGGGATCGGATGCCAACACCAAATTCTTTCCTAGGTATGCATATTCCCGTAAGCGTAAGAATACTCTATCTAGATTGAAAAACTCTCATGGTGGTTGGGTTGTGGGGAATGCAATGGGTTTTCTGATTCTAGAGTATTTTGTGGATATCTTTAATTCTAGAATTGAAGCACCCCGATTAGTGCTGAGTCCCTCCCTAATTTTTTCACGCCTAAAATATCGCAAGGCCAGAATGATGGTCTCCTTTGCCCTTTTGAGGTCGAGGAGGTCAAAGCTGCTCTCTTTTCTATGTTCCTTGATAAAGTTCCGGGGCCAGACGGGATGAACCCGGGTTTCTATTAGCATTTTTGGATGTGGTGGGTGGGGATGTGACTACCTTTGTGCTTAATTGTCTGCATGCGGGTGTTTTACATGAGGGTTTGAATGATACTAACATTGTCTTGATCCCGAAAGTAAAGGAACCGAGAATGTGTCTGATCTGAGGCCTATTGCTTTGTGTAATGTCATCTATAAGATTATGGCCAAGATGATATCTAATAGAATAAAACCCTTACTTGGTACTGTGATTTCGGAGTCTCAACTTGCTTTTATCCCCAATAGACTCATAAATGATAATATTTTAGTTGCTGCTGAGATTGGTCACTATTTGAATACAAAGCAGTGTGGGAAGGTTGGTTGGGGTGCCCTAAAGCTAGATATGGCTAAAGCTTACGACAAAATGGAGTGGCCTTTCCTGCAGGTTTCTCTCCAACCCACCAATCTAATTAGAAGTCTATCGTGCGCCCATCTCCTACTCTCCAGCAAGCCCCTAGCTCAATAATAGGTCTGGCCTTGGCAATGCTTTGCCAGATCCATGAAGTATTATTCAAGGGAGCCGCCTTGAAGAAGTTACCATTCTTGATATACTTGCTCCACACAGCTTGAACCCACAACTTTTCAGGGTTATTAACCGTTTGCCAGGATAATTTTGCAGTGAAGGCCATGTTAGCGTCCTTAGCCGACCTAAGACCCAGACCGCCCATGTTACGTGGAGTGCAAACCTCTCTCCAGTTGACCAGGTGCGTCTTTTTATTGGTGTCGTACAGAAAGTCCCTGCATAATTTGTCAATGTCCTCACAAATAGTTGCCGGAAGCGCCAAACATTACATGGTGTAAAAAGTGATCGTGGCCAGGGTGGATTGAACGAGAGTTCTTCTGCCTGCAAGACTCAGAGAACTAGCCTGCCAATTGTTTAGCCTTTTTTGCATTTTGTCTAAAATATAATAAAAATTACCTTACCCGGGATTGAAGAATAGGAATTCTCAGGTAACGATCATGAGATTCTGTTTTATATCTATGACTATCCATCTGGAATGACAACCGAGATGCCATCATATTATGATAGTTTACCTAAGTTATCACTTTTAAATATACATGACATTAAACGCACACATATACTAGACTACTAGTCCCTCTATTTCAATTATATATGATTTTGATTCAAATGTTCTACAGAATGATGAGCATTAGTTGTGTCGTTACTATCGTAAGTTGTTTTCAAAAAAAAAAAAAAGTTTGTGTCGTAGGTTGAAAATGAGAGCATGGAGATTTTTCACCAAATGAAACCAATTAAATTAAGATTCGTATACCAACTCTAAATTTCACCACGCACTCCAACGTAGTCCCCCAACTCTAAATTTCACCACGCACTCCAACGTAGCCCCCCTGCATGAAACATCCAACCCAACATGTTTATAAAGGAAAAGGAAAATGATATATATAGTATTATTTTGTATTCTCACCCACAAAATTTTGATGTAAACATTTCTATTGAAATTCGTATTAAAAACAAAACATTTATCATCGTCACATTAAAAAGTAAAATTTAAGAAATAAAATTAGGGAGTATTGTATTGGGCTCACATAAAATAAAATAAAATAAAATAAAATAAAATAAAAAACAGTTTATCAAAATCGGTCACATGAAAGAGTAAGATTTGAGAGAATATGTCATATAACTAGATTATAAATACATACACTACAATAATAGAATCGTAAGTTGAAGCTTGGGAATCCGGCCGGCCTGCCTCCATGTCTCCTCCGCTTTCTGATGCCCAAAATGTTGAGTCGTCGTCGTCTTCGTCCAATGTGATAGTGGTGATGGTGCCATATCTGGCACAAGGTCACCTCAACCAGCTCCTCCATTTGTCTCGCCTCATCGCGTCTTATGACCTGCCCGTTTATTACACCGGTTTTACCGTCGATATTAGCTTGGCACGGCAGCGAGTCCACGGTTGGGATCCACTCGCCTACCCAAATCTTCGTTTCCATAGCTTTCCCACTCCTCCTTCCTACCTCTCCGGCGCCAGTTCCGGCCACCAATCGGAATCCTTCTCCGACATCGTGACTTCCGTGGTGAATGGGCCCAAACATTTACGCGGCCCCATCGCGGAGCTCCTCGACGACCTCTCGCCCAAATGCGGGAGGCTAGTGGTTGTTTATGACTCCCTCATGGCCACTGCCGTTCAGGAGGTGGCTTTCATTCCCAACGCCGAGGCCTACAGCTTCCACGCAGCCTCGGCCTTCACCAACGCCACCATCGCCTGGGAAGTCGTGGCCAAAATCCTCCGCCTCCCGTCTTTCCTTTCCAAGCTCGCCGGAAAATTCCTTCTCCCCGCCGGGGCTATAATTCCCGACGATCTCCCGTCCTTGGAGAGCTGCTTCTTGCCTGAGTTCTTGAAGTTCTTGTCGGTGCAACGGGCAAGTGCAAAATTCTGCTCCGGCAATCTTTACGACACATGTCGACCCATGGAAGGGCCGTATCTAGACATTCTTGCCAAACTCTATAGATTTACCGGTAAAGGAAAGCTCTGGGCTATTGGTCCCCTTAACCCGGTAATAGTAAAACGTTGTTTGCTAGAGTTTATTTTAGAACTTATAATTTATTTTAAGTTACAAATAACTTGTTAAAGCATGTGAAACTTATTTTGAAAGTGATAACACTATTGGATATTATGAAATTTTTCAATTATCTGGGGTGAGACTTAATTTAAAATCAATTTCAGGTGGTCGAAAATACTTGATTTAAGATCAATTTCATATAGTCAAAAATTTCATAATTTCCAGCAGTGTAATACTCCAAAAAACGTTTTAAAATAAAGAATTTAATTTTAATTAGTTTGAATATTAATTATATTAGTAACTTTTCAACTTTCAGCTTTCAACGAATCCAGCGAAACAGAGACATAGATGCCTGGAATGGCTGGACAAACAGCCTCCAAAGTCCGTGGTTTTGGTCTCCTTCGGAACTCTGACTTCTCTCTCCGACGAACAAATCTCAGAGCTGGCCAAAGGACTAGAACAAAGCCAGCAAAAGTTCATCTGGGTAGTGAGAGATGTACTCAAAGGAGAAAACGGGAGAATCGGGCTGCCGGAAGGGTACCAAGACAGGGTAGAAGGGAGGGGCCTTATTCTCCGCGATTGGGCGCCGCAACTGGAAATCTTGGATCACCCTTCAACGGGTGCGTTCCTGACTCATTGTGGATGGAATTCATGCATGGAGAGCATTAGCAGGGGGGTGCCGCTAGCCACCTGGCCCATCCATTTCGATCAGCCCAGAAACGCCTTGCTGATGACGGAGGTGCTGAAAATCGGGATCGCGGTGAAGGATTGGGCGCGTAGGAATGAAGTCATACCGTCGGAAACTGTCCGGAAAGCCGTCGAGAAATTAATGGCGTCGCCTGAAGGAGAGAAGCTGAGGACAAGGGCGGCGGCGTTGGGCAAAGATGTGAAGCAGTCTGTAATGGACGGCGGCGGTTCTCGCCTGGAGATGGCCAACTTCATTACCCACATTACAAGACAGAATTATGCCTAGTCTGATTCTGTTTATTAGTTTGTATTATGTCTGTTCATTTTATTCTGTGTTGGTCTGTTTTAGCATATTTTTATTTAATCGTTGCACATAATAAGCCATCTTCAAGTACAATGGTCTTGAATTCAATAGAAGTTGCAAATATAATTGGGTATGATTTATTAGCTAATACTCTTATAGAGTTAGAAGCACCTGTAGATTGTTTAGAAGCATTTTCGGTTTTCTCTCTCTAACACCTCCAAAGGTAGCGAATAGATTTTAAGGATTATACATGACTTGGATCTTTCCTTATTTTTGTTGGGTTAAAACTAGGTATGGCAAGACTTGAATCTTTCCTTGTTTTCGTTGGGTTAAAACTAGGTGTGACAATGGGTCGGGAAGAGTTACATCCATCACTCAGGCGACTCCAACCCGTATTCGGTAGACTTTTTCAAAACACACCTCACGCCCACCGGATGCAGGTGCCCACTATAGGTATCCACCATTCATCAGCTTATTATTTTTTTAAAAAAAATTTAAATTACTTATACATAATAAAATAGTAAAATTCATTAATTATACTAAAACATAAAACAATAGAAATATTCAAATATATTAACTAAATTGTTAATTTTAAAAATAAACTTAAGCTCTAAGGAATGGGTATCAAAGTGATTGGTATTTTTTTATTGATAAATTTTTAAAACACTACTATAGGTTTCAAATACCCCTTAAAGATTCATACCCAAATAAAATAAGGGTATCACCTCTTTTCATTCCCTTATTCCTTTTCAGCCCTTTTGATTAGTGCTTTTAGATTTTTGTTTTTATTTTTTTGTTCATATTGATGTTTTGGATATCTTTATATTAAAATCAATTCTCTTGATTTTGTGTTCTTGTATTTTTAAAATCTTTATTCCCATTATTGATCACACAACCAAACAACATTATTGATAATCATTCTCATTCCACCCTATTACTAAACATGCAAAATACTTTTCACTAAAACTCATCATTACCATTACAAATTAAAGTATTTGATACCCATTCTGATTCCGACTCCCATGCGCGAACCATACACACGCTTATAACAATTGGAACCAAACACAACCTTAGTAATTTAGATATAAAAATAGTAAAAAGTAACCCAAGGTTATTGAAACTTTTATAATTAACTTTGTACTAGTACAATTGTACCGTGATTTGATTTAAAAAAAAAAAAAAAAAAACCTTTGTACTAGTACAACTTATTTTACTATTATATATATATATATATATATATATATATATATATATATATATATTTTGGAGAAAATGCTTCTAATCTGTAATACATTTGAAATACAACAAAATACAGAAAACAACAGGGAATAAAAACTGGATCATTTAATATCTTCAGGCGTGTAATCACTTTCCTATAAGCTTTAAATCTCCCTCTATAAAAGCATCAAGGTTCAAGATTTAATCTTATGGGATACAAGATGATGAATGGAATTCTTAAGTTGCTTTGTTTAAGTATTTCCTGTAGAATTGTAGAACTGTGAAATATCAAGATATGCAACAAAATAATTTTGTATCTGTTAACTTTTCTCTGTATTCTTCAGATGTCTCTCCAAATATTTATATAAAATATTTTGATGATTAAGAGAAGTTACTGGTAGTTTAATACTCCAACTTCCACAAGATATATCTTTAATGACATATTAGTCATGAGAAATAAAAATACTTAAACTATGTACATCATGTTACGTACTGCATGCAAATAGATTAGTATATGTAATATATATATATATATATATATGATATATATATATATTTATAACTTCCATGCATGTAACATGCAAAGAGTAAATAAATAATATATATTTATATATTGTAACTCATGTATGCAGTAAGGAAAACACAAAGCAAAGCTTCCACCGAGAGTTTTGAACACCATTTGTACATAGTTTTTAACAAATTAGATCGTTACACGAAGCAATAAGCACGAGTCAATACCAAAATTAAACAGTACATTGGACTCTTGGTAAACGAATCAATCAGCACGATTCGTTAAGCAATCGTTAAGCACGACTCAATAAGCATCAATGATTCGTTAACGACGAATCATTGAAACCAGCAAATTGCATATATCAAACTTGGTGTAGTTTTCGGTTCCAACCGTACGAAATATCTATATTTCCCAATTTACTTTTCTACCAAACTAAAATAATATTTATAACTCCACAACTCCAAATGTTATTTTAAGCTTCCATGGTAGTCTATCTGAAACATTAATCTTCATTACTATATAAATTTCCAACAATAAATATATATATATATATATATATATATATATATATATATATATATATATATATATATATATATATATATATATATATATATATATATACACACACACACACACACACACATAGTGGGGTTCTAGACGGGTTTTGTACATAGAACTTGAATCTAACCCGACAAACCGCGGGTTCACTTTTTTAAGACCTACCCCCTACCCACCACTCATTATGACTCAAAAAAATTCGACTCATACGGGATAAATTCGGGTGGATATTCACGGGACGGATTGAAATTGCCATCCTTAGTTAAAATCTCAAGTTTATGAAACTTTTTTTTTTCTCGTCTTTGTATATATTACTATATATACATATATACATATAAAAATATATATATATATATATATATATATATATATATATATATATATATATATATTGTTTTGGTTTCGTACCAAATTATGGTGAGATTAATTTTCTTAAAAATTAAATCTTTTGTACTAGTTTCGTACTAGTTTATGATTGAAATTATTTTTCTATAAATTATAAATCACATTGTTTTCGAATTATATATATATATATATATATATATATATATATATATATATATATATATATATATATATATATATATTTTCGAAATTACTATTTTCTGTATCGACTTATTCACCGCTACCAATAGTTTATGCGTTACTCCCAAGCAGTAACGAATAGGTAATTAGCTAAAGTGAATAAAAAGAGTTCTATTATATGGACTCCCGAATTCTATTAATTCAATTATACTTCCTGATGTAGCATATGAATATGACATTTTCATATGTGGTTTTGAGCATATATAATATATAAACATAAATGTGCAATTCAACTATCAACTTAGACTTTTAGTTGATATGGTGTACATGGTTCAATTTGTGGATCTAGACAAAATTATTTATATTAAAGACTTGAGCTGGAGCACAGGATTCAATTTGTGAGTCTAGAAAAAATTGTCTACATTAAAGACTTGAGAATAAAGAATAAAAATTGAGAGTAGACTTGGGAGAAGATATAATAAAAAATGAATTTGTAAAAATTTATAAAAAGTCGGTACAATATCTTCTCGGAAAGTGCTTGACCGATAGAAACCCAATTACTTCTAGAAATTTGTAGAAATGAAGTTGTGAGTCAATTTTCGTTTACAATTTGTGGAAATTTATTTTTCTTTTACTAATTGATGGAACCATAGGGTCTGGGCCTAAGTCTAGCTAGGCTCAGGAGTAGAAAACTAGGGGTTAATTGGTTGAGTTATATTACATGTATTCTTAAATTTTACTCTTTTAAATTTACTTCTTGATGTGGCGGATTTTGAAATATCATTTTTTGTCATATGAGCCCTTTTAAAAGTGTGTATATCAATATTTTAAGTGTGAGAGTACACGTTAGGAGTATAGAATGGGAGTAATACATTTAGTATTTTCTAATTGTTTTTTGGAAATAATCATAGTCCTAGGCAAGTTTTTGGGTATATAATTTGGATTGACAAATATAGTTAGGAGGGTCAGACTAAGAGGTAATACCATATGAGATCCTCCGAGTATAGTGGTTTTGCCACGTTTAGTTCTAAGCTTTCAAATTGATCATATGTGGTCCTTCGACTTTTAAATTTAACTATTCATGGTCCAAGTTAACCACCCATGGTCCTTAAACTATTAAATTTTAATCAACCATGGTCCTTTCAAGAGGACCATAGCTGGTTAAATTTCGAAACTTGAAGGATCATGGGTGGTTAACTTGGACCGTGAATTGTTAAATTTGAAAGTTGAAGGACCACAGATGGTCAATTTGAAAGTTTAAAACTAAACGTGGCAAAACCACTATACTCGGAGGATCTCAAATGGTATTAACTCGTCAGACTAACAACAGACTGAAATTGGAGCAATGGAGAAAAACTACACAAGGCAAAGAGAGGCTAGCAAGTTTCGCCCCCACCCGCCTGGTTGGGATGTGGACGGTGTGGCCGACTGTGGCGGAAGTTGGGTGACTAGCACCGGTGGCCAGCTGGGTGACTTTTGGGCAGGGCTCTAGTTTTCCCCTCATTCATCATCCAACAGGTCGGCTAGCTAATCAACTAATCCACCTTCCATCTTAGTGTAGCAAGCCACCTTGGTCTCGACCAAACCATAGCAAAATATGAGAAAAGTAAATGATGTCATTTATTTAAACAAATAAGGATTAAAAAAAAAGTTAAGAAATTTCTAGCTTATTTTTGAAAATTAGCGTTTCAAAATTAATTTTTATTTTAAGTTATTAGTTTATTTTGAAAACATTATCAAACAGAACTTATAACTTATTAGTAACTTAAAATAAGTTATTAATACATAAATAAACTCTGCCAAACAGAGCATTGATAGGACAGATAGATGTGGTCCCTATACTACTTATGTAGGCTGTATATATATGTTGTAGTAGAATGGTGATTTTCGTGGCCTGGGAATTAATAATTCTAGTGTACAATATGTTTTACGTACTGCTTTGGGAGCACTTGTAATTTAATATAGTTAATTGGGAAAATGACAGTATTAATTTATTAGTAAAATTTTTTATAAAAATCACGCCTAGACACTAGGCTGCGGTTGACATTTTAGAAATTATAATCGGTGATTTATGTGGTCGGCCGCCTAGGTTGTGGCGGACTAGGTGGTGGTTTAGGCAGCCAACGATTAGCTATTGTTTCATTTTTTTAAAAAAATTGGTTATTTTACTCAAAACGACGTTATTTTAAACGAAATAATCCTAAATCGTTCAAATCGGTCGACGCAAACCAAAAAAATTAAAAAAAAAAAAAAATCGAAATCAGCTACTCTAATATTGATACTTTGTGAGTTATGACTTTGTGGAATTAAGTTTTGATTCTTTAAATCTTTAACTATTTAATACTTTAGTATTAACTATTAAAGTATTAAATATTTTATAATTATCATATCTTTAAAAATTTTAACAAAAAATTTAAAAATTATATTAAAAAGGGAGCTTAGGCGCTAGGCGCCCCCGGGTGCATAAGGAACACCTAGCGATTTTTGCAACATTGATTAGTTATATATAAATTGTAGACTCGATCCATTAATTATTAGTCTATACAAATTTTCTCATTTAATTATGTTGAAAGTGACAATTTCAATCCATTAATTATAGATCTTGTTTATATTAAAAATTTATTTTGAATTTCAAATTACTAAAGGACAAATACGTCATTTTATAAATTTTTTCAAAATTTTCTCTCCCTGAAGCTTTT